TATTATGGTGTATTACTTATTACTACAAATGTACAATCTTTATATTACTCAAAATTCTCCTAAGGAAATGAGTACTCAAAAATCTCTTACTATTTTTTTTCTATCTACCTACCTATTATATAAAATTTATGGGCAAGTATCTACATTTAGAAGTATGTCCTAGAAGAGGGAAAATAGAGGAACTTCTATAAAGGATGAGTTTAGAGTTCAAAATTTCATATTTTCATTTCAAATGAGTTACATTTTTAGTTCTGTGATTGTAGACAACTCAAATTTTTTCTGAGACTTATTTCTTTCATTCACTGAGAATACAGAATGATAAATAACATAACAACTTGAAAGTGCTTGGTGGACCAGAAAGCGTTGGCCCATCTACAGAGTTATGGGACTGTCATCCATCACTGCCAAGAGGGCATGCAACTATCTCTATTGCGATTCTCTGATCAGAAGTGTGGAAACTTTTAATAGGCTGTCACTATCAGCTCCCGTTTCCGCTGTAACCTGGTTCTTTGTCACAGTCCCAGAAAATCTGAACAGGGACTTAACACAGTGGGTCATTTGTGAGGTCTCAAAGAGGGGCACCTGCACACACTAATTTATTCTGATCCTGTTTCTTATGATGAATCTTAATGTTCATTTATCTTCAAATCATTCTGCTGTATACCACATATTTATGCCTGTATGTTATTTTTTTAAGCAGTTCTATTAACCTAGATCCTCAACAGAAGCCTACAACTTGCTCAAAGAAAAGTTAATATGAACTCATCCATCACATCTCCAGAAGGATTCTCTGGAAATGCCTCCCTTAGAGCCAATCTCTCCTAATTCTCTGCTCCCATATACTTTTATTTTTGTTGTTACCAATAAATAATCTAATTTTTTTACATGTCTGTCTGCCTGATTAGACTGAAAGTCCTGTAAGGGCAAGAATGATAGGTATACCTTTTTTATAAAAAGAAAATCTACCACTGTAATCATAGGAAGCAACATAATATTAAAATAAATACTAAAGTGAAATGAAAGAAAAAATTTTAAAATAAGTTGTATCTTTTTCTAAATATATGGTTATTAAATAATACTTAGAAAAACGTAAAAGAAAAAACATTAAAATACAATCACAAAAATAATGAGATATTATTTTAGAACCACTCTATTGATAAAAATTATAAAGATTACGAGTATTAACTATTGGTAAAGATAAAGGAAACACCATAGGAGTATAGGTTTGTTAAATATTCTACTGGAAATATCTATAAAATCAATATATGTAAGTGTACCTTGTTTTATTATGCTTTGCTTTGTTTTGTTTCACATATATTGCATTTTTTTTAAAGTAAATTGTGGGTTTGTGGCAACCCTGTGCCCAGCAAGTCTACTGGTGTCATTTTCCAACAGCTCTCTTTGTGTCTCTTTGTCACAGTTTGGTAATTCTGGAAATATTTCTATCTTATTGATTATGATTATATCTGTTACGATGATCTGTGATCACTGATCTTTGATGTTACTATTCCAGTGGTTTTGAAGGGCTACAGACTGCTCCCACATAAAATGGCGAACTTAATGGAAAAAATGTTGTGTGTGTTCTGACTGCACCACTGACCAGCTATTTGCTGTCTCTCCCTCTCTTTCTCTCACCTGAGCATTTCTATTTCCTAAGACACAACATTATTGAAATGAGGCCAATTAATAACCCTACAATAGCCTCTAAGCATTGAAGTGAAAGGAAGAGTCACACATCTCTCATTTTAAATCAAAAGCTAGAAATGATTAAGCTTAGTGAGGAAGGTGTGTCAAGAGCGAAGATAAGCTTAAAGCTAGACCTTTTACATCAAACAATTAGATTGTGAATGCACAGGAAAAGTTTTTGAAAGAAATTAAGAATGCTACTCCGGTGAACACATGAATGATAAGAAAGCAGAACAGCTGCATAGCTGGTATGGTGAAAATATCAGTGGTCTGAGTAGAAGATCAATCCAGCCCAAAGAGCTGAGATCTCAAGAAATTTTATCTTTCACAAATGTAGATATATAAAAAGGACATATTTTCATTTATTGAGGAAGTTTCAATGTTTTTAAAGATATGTACAGTGATCACATACAAAGTCAATGTTGTGATAATGTACTTTCATGGGGTCAAATTTCTGATGTCCAAGGCAGCAGAAGAAAAGTTTGTCCCAGATCTCAGAGAGAAACCGATTCTTCTTTTGTAATTGTTATCTCTGGGCCCCCAGCTGATGGGATGGTGCCTGCCAACATTGAGGGCATATCTTCTCCACTTAGTCCACCCAGACTCATACACTGAACTGCTCCTCTGTCCTCACAGTCACACCCAAAATAATGCTTCACCAGGCTTCTAGACACTCTTTAGTTCTGTCAAGTTGACATCTAAATTAACTGCACAAGTCCACTCGTGGCAAGTTGGCACCTGGTATGGTCTGGCTGTGTCCCCACTCAAATCTCATCTTGAATGGTAGCTCCCCAGATTCCCATGTGTTGTGGGAGGGACCCGATGGGAGATAATTGAATCGTGGGGGCAGTTCCCCCCATACGGTACTCGTGGTAGTGAACAAGTCTCACGAGATCTGATAGGCTTAAAAGGGGTTTCCCCTTTCACTTGGCTCTCATTCTCTCTTGCCTGCCGCCATTTATAATGTGACTTTCACGTTCTGCCATGATTGTGAGGCTTCGCCAGCTATGTGGAACTGTGAGCCCATTAAATCTCTTTTGCTTTATAAATTACACAGTCTTGGGTATGTCTTTATCAGCAGCGTGAAAACAGACTAATACAACACCCATATGTATCTCCTTAAACCATATCTAATTTCCAAATAAAGACAGTAACAAGGTAATAGTTCCACTGAAGATGATGCAACTATCCTGTGATTGATTTTGGGGATTCTGTATGTTTGGAATTTTAGACTTTAGGGATTTGGATATGTCGAGGTTTCAACATTTATGATTATGGTATGTGAGATTGTATCTCTCAGGATTATGGTATGAAGCCTGTGGTTATAGAAAACATAGCTATTCAGTGTGGACCAAACAGCCTTATATTGGAAGAAGATGTTACCTAGGACTTTCATAGATAGGCAGGAGAAGTGAATGCCTGGCTTCAAAGTTTGAAAGAACAGGTTGACTCTCTTGTTAGGGGCTAATGCAGCTGATGAATTAAAGTTGAAGCTAATGCTTGTTAACCATTCTCAAAGCCCTAGGTTACTTAAGAATGCTGCTAAATCTTCTATGCCTGTGTGTTCTCTATAAATGGAACCACAAAGTCTGGATGATGGTACATTTGTTTACAGTACGGTTTACTGAATATTTTAAGCCCACTGTTGAGAACTACTGCTAAAAAGAGAGATTCCTTTCAAAACATTACTGTTCATTGACAATTCACTTGGCCATCTAAGGACTCTGGTGGAGATGTACAAGGAGATTAATGTTGTGTTCATGTCTGCTAACACAACATACATTCTTGCAGCTCATGGGTCAAAGAGGAATTTCAATTTCCAAGTCTTATTAACATTTCAAAAGGTTGTAGCTGCCACAGATAGTGATTCTTCCTGTGGATATAGGAAAAGTAAATCGAAAATCTTCTGAGAAGGATTCACCATTCTAGGTGCCATTAAGAGCATTTGTGATTTATGGGAGGACATCAAAATATCAACAATAATAGGAGTTGGGAAGATGTTGATTCCTGTCCTCATGGATAACTTTGAGGGGTTCAAGACTCCTGTGAAAAAAGTAACTGCAGATATGGTGAAAATAGCAAGAAAACAACAATGAGAAATGGAGCCTGAAGATGTGACTGAATTACTGCAATCTTGTGATCAAACTTTAATGGATGAGCAGTTGCTTCTTATGGATGAAAATAGAAAGTGGTTTCTTGAAATGGAATCTATTCCTGGTGAAGATGCTATGAACATTGGTAAAATGACAACAAATGATTTAGAATATGACATAAACTTGGTTGATAAAGCATCAGCAGGATTTGAAAGGACTGACTGCAATTTTGAAAGAAGTTCTACTGTGGATAAAATGCTACCAAATAGCATTGTATGCTACAGAGAAATACTTTGTGAAAGGAAGAGTCAATCAATGTGGCAAACTTCATTATTTTCTCATTTTAAGAAATAGTATGGCCACTCCAACCTTCAGCAACCACTACCATAATCAGCCCCCATCAACACTGAGGCAGGGCTCTCCAGCAGCAAAAAGATTCTGGCTCTCTAAGGGCTTAAATGTGTTAGCATTTTTAGCAAAAAAAAAAGTCTTTTAAAATAAAAGTCTGTACATTGTTTTTTACACATAACACTATTGCACACTTAATGGCTGCAGTATTGTATAAATATAACTTATATGCACTGGGAAACCATAAAATCTGTGATACTCGCTTTATTGTGATACTCGCCTTATTAAGTCAGTCTGGAACCAAATCTGCAATGTCTCTAAGGTATGCCTGTATCATATAACACTACAATTGTATTACTAGATGTGTAACCCAAAAATCTCTAGCATGATATATTCAGGAAGTCACATCAAAATATGTTTAATTGTAGCATTGTTTGTGAGAGAAAAAGTGGAACACAACTATATTCTGTTAGAGAAATAATTGAGGAAACCCTATACAGCAGGGTAATGAATGAATTAACTCTAAATGAATGAGTATAGATATGACTTTTAATTATTTATTTGACTGCAAAGAACAAATTGCAGAAACTTTCCCTTGTTCATATCATTTATGTTTATTCAAATCCATACTGATACTATACCATGCTCTATTTGGGGTGTCTCTCTCTGTGTGTGGAGTGTGTGTTTATTTCAGAAACGTAGACTATAAAGAAAAACATAAACTCCATGATGTTCTCCTAGGGAATGAGGAAATGAAGAGGTATGGGAGGAATGAAAATTGGACTAGGGAGGAAAAGTAATGTTATTTCAAATTTATAAATAACATTATAATAAAAACAAAAATAATATGTTGATATATTTCTTCCACTTCTTCTCAGGGTATTCCTTCTAGTGTCCTACATGTATAATTTAATAGTTTAAACTTAAAAATAGTTATTATTATTTGTTCAGATCTTAGGAGATATCTCTTTATATATCTGTGTTACATACAACTTGAAAAGTTTTCCAATGGCATCTGTGTTGTGTGGCATTTAGAATGTATTACAAACATTTGTTGGATCTCTACTTCATGCTAAGTGGTCATTTAGATTCTTCACAGGAATGAGAAACAGTATCTAAATTTCAGTAACCTAATAAAAATTAGCTATCATTACTTTCAGCTAGAAAGTTTCCCATAGTAATTATCACCAAATTAGATTTTCTGTATTTATATTTTCTGTGCAATTTTTATAGTAACTTCCATAAAAACATACATTTCCCAATAAACAGGTGAATAATGAATACACAAACCATATAAGTACAAAAATATACATAGATTTCTTTCTTATTGCCCTCTTGATACATTGCTTTCTAAAATAAATCCAGAATGGCCATCAGTACAATTCACATTCGCTAGCAAAATCTTTCCTCTTTTACTTGTTTCTGCTACTCCAAAGCCTTTCCAGTTTTCAATACAATAGTGCATACATATGAATGAATCTATTTAATTGCAACTTATTCTCAAGACAGTGAATCAGTTTTTGAAGAGTCTTGGGTATCTGTTGATGTTTCTGAAGTTAAGTGAGAACCAAGTATGTCTCCTACAATTTTTCCTTGTGGAAAATTATGGTGCCTGTTATACTGTTTGTTTATAACAAGCTCTAGTATAAAGCCACAGATTATGTCTGTAGGTGTTCAGGTAGGGTTTACAACCAGCAGCTGAAGCAGAAAGAAGAATACATGCCAATTTTACTACTTTTAGTGATAGTCAAGGAATGTTGGATAAAGCAAGTTTGTGTCATTATTTTTGGAATGTGTATGCTTTGTTAAGTTATACAAAAAGACAGTTCCTTAAACTTTGAATATGAATATGCTTTCTGATCATGATATATTCTCAAATGAATAATACGAATTGTGGATTTCATGTGACATGGTCCGTGTGATTTTCTACATCAAAGGGTGGATGTCTGCAGATTTGGAGGTGGTGCTGGCGCCTTCTCTCATGCTAGCATTTCCATTGCACAAGAGAATTAGAGAACGCAGTCACTGAGATGGGGTTGATCTAGGGGAAAAAGAAGCCGTGGAACATATGTTTTTCAAAATGGAACTCACATTCAAGGGTGTTCTTGGACACTGACAATGAAAAACAACATGAGAAAAGATGGGCACTAAAAATGAGTCATGAGGGGGTAACAGCGAAGTCAGTCAAACTCTGGGCTTCTGCCAAGTCTGACAGGCAAGCAACTGGCAGAGACTCAGGGGAACTTAGACAATAATAGAAGTAGTAGTGGCAAGGGCCACCTGCTTTTCTTAAGAGATTAACTATTGTTAAACCCTTGGCACTCTGCAATGGAACCTTGTATCCACAGGCAGGAAGCAGAGCACGCTGTGATATTAGTCTTGGGAATTCATGCCAAATCAGAGAGAATCATCCCTGCTTTCCACTGAGGGAGAAGACAGCATGCCAGACCAGCTGAGACATCTGCTGTCGTGAGAGTTTCTTGAAGGACTGAAGCTTCCATCAGGCTATATATATAGTTTGTATACACACACACACACCCCTTTATATACATACATAAATGCATACATATATACATACATAGTTTTATATATATATACACATTTAAAATACACACACACTCACTTTCAGTGAGGAAAAACCTGACTTAACAGGCAAAGCATCAAACCTGGTGCTAGTCCCTTTGACATTCCCTCATTTTGTACTTTTTTTATACAAACGATTGTTCAAGATGTAAACAACCTTCTCAAAATTAGCCCAGAGAAAATAAAGTACATGGAGGTGATTTTGGACACAAATAGCCATATTAGTTCTTAGAAAATAGCTGTTTGCAAATGTAACATTCACAATTATGAGCAGAAAGTCATTAGATGTTAATGTCTCTGAGCAGCTACAGAGGAGAGATTTCATGGTGTGGCACAGGAAGTGTCACAGAGTCCTCATTTCTGCAATGACATATCCCTTTCAGCTCAGATTTGAATCCAAAAGTGACTTTCCATGCCAAAAATTGCTTAAAATATCTTTCTGATCATCATAGAAGCACCACATGCTGGTCTCTCATTTGAAAGAATACAGATAAAGGGTGATTAGATTAGAGAAACTGTCTTGGAGAATGTCACAGTGCTCTGGCATAATAAGAAAATTAGGTAAATAGCATTCAGTGGAGTTTATTGGTGGGAAGTAGAGCCTTCCGTAGCAGCTATTACCTGATGAGGGCTTGTCCTTAATAATTGTCATTTTAATGCACAGATTGCCTGCCGTTAATAGATCCTAAGTAGATCCTCTCTACAAAAGGAAAATAACATGGGACTGCCAAAGAAGGCCTCAAACAGATTAGAAGTATTTGTCAGCTGCTCTGGTTGAACATTAGTATGAACTTCTGAGTGAAAAGAAATCTGTAGATTAATATCATAACCATAATATAAATTGTATAATTTATTTTCTATAATGGTATATGCTAAAATGCATATATGGTCTTCCTCATAGAATAAAAGTTTAAATATCTACAAGAAATCTTGAATTTATCAAAGGCCTCTATGTGAATGCTTGTAGCCCTAGTTAACATTTACAGGCATGTTTTTTATGTAGTTCTGCCTAGGTGGACCTAAAATTGGTATATGATATATAGCTACATAATTTATAAGTAACAGCTAAGGGCTTAACCTCTGAATGATTTTGCATATAAAAAGTATATTTATTAAGCAGAATTGCGAGAAAATGTAATAGTGATTATCTGTGGGAAGATTATAGCAAATAATGCTGAAAACCTCATTGCCAACAATAGAAACACACTGAAACCAAACTCAAAGTTTATTGTTTTGCCATCATTTATTTTCGAGGGCCCACATTGCATACTCATTTGCTTATATGAAACTTTAATATTCTTACCTTCTCACTTCCTCTTGAGGTCTCATGATGTTGAGCATACTATCAACTTTTTTGATCAGGAAACTATATGGGAAGTGGAAAAAGCATAGTGTTTGGAGTCCAAAGGGCTTCAAAATGTAGAATTTAAAATTTTATACAGATTATTACTATTACTTCATCTCAAAGTGCCCCTTATGGTATAGAGGCTTGGAGAATGCTTTACATACGTTGCCTCTAGACCCAGTGTAAGCCCTGCAGGGCATATGTTATTATCTACATTTGTTAGATGAAAAAACACAGCTCAGTTAAACTAAGATTTGGCTTAAGGTATCACAGACAATAAGGAACACAAGTGTCTTTCAAAACTAAATTTCCCTGGCTCCTTATTAAAGAGTCTACGCCAGCATTGTCCAAAAGAAATAAAACACAAACTTCGTATGTATAAATTTTCTATTAGCAATATTTTTGAAAGTATGGAGAAATCCATGAATTAATTTTTATAATTTTAAATTAATCCAATATGATTTAAAAAATCACTTCATGTTTTTACATATTTTGCATTTGTGGTTTTTTTGGTACTAATTCCTTGAACTCTGGTGTGCATTTGAAATGTATAGCACAAGTCAGTTTGGTTTAGTCTGATTTCAAGTATTCAACTATCACAAATGGCTAGTGGCTACTATATTTCTACTATTCTAGTAGCTACTATACTACTTTACACAGTTCAAAAATAGAGTTGTGATGCAGCATTAGATCAAAAATGCAAGGTTTCTTTGATTACTGGCTTTAACTACTTGCCACCTGAAGCATACTGACTGATAATTTAATCTGAGTCTTTCCTCACAAGTGTGAAAATGGTGTGATAATACTTAACCCATAGAATTGGGAGGGGTGAATTAGATTATCAGGTGGGAAATATCTGGCCGATTACCAGACATTACGAGGACTTCACAAGAAGATAGGTCCACTCTATTTTTCTCTCTTTTGCTTATAGATTTTGTTTCCCTAAGGATATCCGGTGCAGCCCCAAAGCTTAAACAAAACTCCTCTTAGAAAGTCTTGAAAAGAAGGCATGTTTAGCTTCATGCATTTTATATTTCAGTTGAGTTCATATAATGGTTTAGATCACCATGATTGGCCAGTTGATCTTGGGAATGCAGAAACGCCAAACTTTCTCAGCTACACTTACATTAAGATTTAAATTGGCAGTTGGAAACAATTCATTGAGAGGCTGATATAACTCCAAATCAGTTATACTCTATAAGCAAACATTAATTATTTCAAACTGTTTGTAGTTTTTCACCTGAGCTAGTAGAGATAACTGAGTCCTTTTACAATAAATAAACTAAGACTATGTCATAAGAAATATAGTCCAATTTTGAACTCCAATCTCAATCCATTTTTTTCACAAATTCCCATGGCTCATGAAAACAGTTTCATTCATAATCCAAATTAAAAGATGTAATATTATGCAATCTAGCACTTGTGTCTTATAATACACCAGAATTGTACATTTGAAATGTATATTATTTAGAACCAGATAAAATGAGGTTTAGAAGACAAGTATGTCATTTACTAGCTGTGATATTTGGAGCAGATTGTAAATTTATCTGATCTTCACAAACTACCTTGAAAGTTGGAGATTAAGATTAAAATTTATTCTTGTAAAAACCCTTTCCATTCTGCATGATACATAATACCTACTCAATGTATTAATCAGGCTTCTCTAGAGGGACAGAAGTAATAGGAGAGATGTAGATATAGAGAGGAATTTGTTAATGAGTACTGACTCACATGATCACAAGGTGAGGTTCCACAATAGGCCATATGCAAGCTGAGGAGCCGGGAAGCCAGCCCAGTCCCAAAACTGAAGAAGTTGGAGTCTGGTGTTTGAGGGCAGGAAGCACCCAGCACGGGAGAAAGATGGAGGCCGGAAGACTAAAACAGTCTAGTCTTGCAAATTCTTCTGCCTGCTTTTATTTTGGCCGTGCTGGCAGCTGATTGAGGGTGGGTCTGCCTTTCCCAGTCCGCTGACTCAAATGTTAATCTCCTTTGGCAACACCCTCACAGACACACCCACGAACAATACTTTGCACGCTTCAGTCTAATCAGGTTGACACTCAGTATTAACCATCACACTGAGGAAATGGAAATATAACAGAATGGTGGTTCTAAATAAAGGAAATTTTTAAAATTTTAATAATCTGTATACAAATCTAACATACTATAAAATAAATGTAATGTAATGGTGAATGCATTAGATTTAGAGTCAGTGACCCTTCTATCTCTCCACCTAATATCAATTTATTTTCCATCTATTTATTTATAATACATTTTAAATATGTGTAAATATTTTCACTGATAGAATATTAGTAATTCCTTGGAAACCCCTGTCAGTTTCTCTCTGAATTTGTAGCCCTCTATTATCCTCAGAGGTAAACATAATCCTACATTTTTAGCTTATTATTTTCTTGTTTTTTGTTTTTGTCTTAAACACATATGAATGTGTATTTACACAGTGAAAGACTTAGATTTGCATTTTTTTTTTTACTTTATGTAAGTGCAAGCTACTGTACAAATTATTCTGTGACTTTGCACAATACAATTTTTATGAGATACAAGAAGTTGTAGTTGGTTCAGTTTTACTATATTGTGTATGATAAGACTATTTTAAGATGATTTGTTTTTCTATTGTGGGAGTTTGCACTGTTACCACATTCTTGCTGTAAGAAACAGTGCTTCTGGAGACTTTTTGTTTGTCTCTCTATATCTGTATACATGTACAAATATACATGTGCCCACCCATTTATGTACATATGTGTACATACACAAACACACACAAGATTTTCTATGATATATTTCTGTGAATGAAATTTCTGGGTTTTATAATATGGACATCTTTGTATTTACTAGACAATACCAAATTAGGTTCCAATATGACTATACTAATTTATATCTCTATAGGGCAATAATGTTTAAAATACTTTAAATATTGACATAGGATACATAAATAGATTAATTGAACTGAAATTTAGAAACTAATTTATGTTAACATAGGTATTGATTTATGAGAGTGATGACATTACAGATTAATAAAAGGGGCAGAATAATTGGTAATGCATAGAGAGAAAAGAAAAAAACTAAATCTTAATTTCTGCTTCATATCAAATACAAATATCATTTCCAGGGGATATTAAAGAGTTAAATTTACAAAACAATAGCATAAAAATTTATCAACACCATATGGAAAAATAATTATATTAGCCTAGGCCAAAACCATTTCTTAATGAAGACAAAAGAGGTGAAAACTACAAAGGAAAATAAACTTACATGGTCTACTGTATATTTTGCTCACCACGGGACACAAAAACAGGGAAAGAAAACAGTAAAAACAGACAGTGGAAATGTATATCTTAAAAATCCTAAATATCACAAGTTGGCCAAATAGCAATAAGATATACATGGATAAATTTAGAAGATAACTAAGAGATTTCCTAGCAGGGAGTATTCAAGATTTTTTTGTAAATGGTCAGATAGTAAATATTTTTGCCTTACTTTGCAGACTATATATACTCTCTGTCACATATCCTTTATATAGAGAGAGACCTCAATGCATAAATAAAAAATTATATATATATATATAACCACTGTTTAATGTATTTAGAGCAGGAGTACATGTAAAAATATTAAAACTTGAAAAAATACTGTATCCTTGTGTTCATGGATCCTGTGGACATATATTATAATTAGAACAAAAGTGTGTCCAAACTGCCTCTGGTCCAGCAATCATACTTTACCAGCGAGGAAATTAAGGTCCATAATGGCCCAGAGCTGGTGACCAATCGGAAGGGGTACAGAGTTTCTAATTTCCCCCAGTCAGCGCTGCTGTCTTTGGATAGCATAGCATCCCTCTGTTTACAGTAGAATTCACAGGTCATGTTAGGGCTGATAAGACTTTATTAATGTAAGTCATATTGTCGTTAGGCAGGACATGACTTGTTTGTTAGCTCCTTGGAACAGAGGAGAGACTAGCTCATCAGAGCTACAGGAACATTCCTTTTTATTAAACCTATCTTTCAAAAAAGCCATAAAATGAGCAATTTTATCAACAGCCTGTTCTGAAATGGACCACTTTAAAAGGCGATAGGAACAAGTCTGGCAGCTGAGTTATCCTGGAATGTTTCACTGGGAGGAAAGAGCCCCATCAGCACCTTCTTTTAAATGAAAGCCAGAGTCATTGTTGGGGAAACTGCTGGCTTCCCATATGCTCCTGGTCTTCTTCTAGAAAATCCTCCTGGGAACACTTTCCGAAGCTCCTAGCCTCAAAGCAGACTTTGTAGAAACTTTTAGTTAGAGTAAAATTCAGTATTACAGAATTTCTATTTATTTCCAATAGATATGGAAAAGGTTAGTAGGTATTATTGACCTGAAGTGTAATAATGTCCCTCAAGGCTAACCTTTAAATCTTTATGTGTTCAGTAATTCAAGCTATGTAGAGCATCTTTCTCTGTCTTTAGGAATATTATAACATTCTGTATAGCTATAATAAAAAGAGTGGTGGAAAAGGGCAAAGGGAAATTACCTCTTTCTCCATAACAGCTCTATAGGGCATTCACATACTCAGTTTACTCAAATGAGGTCCTTTTAGCAGTCTGCAGGGAGTCTCCTAAAAGAAATATTGCAGAGCGGTATTAACCTGAAATATTGAATTCTTTTCTTAATCCGAAGAATCAAATTACCCTTTTCATTAATAAAATAGAAATTATTAACGTCTTAGCTTGACTGAGAGAAAAACTTTTATCTTTTTTTTCCTGCCAATAGTGTTTATTATGAACATAAGAGATAATTTCATAATGACAGAATATTAGTGTGTTGTTTTCACCAGTTTTTTATAGTGCCAATAATTATATTATTTAAGTTACTGATATAATAAATTATAGTTATTAGATGATGCTAACTTGCTAATTCTCAGCTCTTTTGACGACTGATGCATAAAATTTTGACCCAGTGTATTAAGTTTTAAGTCATTATTGCTTCAATAATTTCTAACTTGTACATAATTCTAAGCGTATTGTATCGCAGAAGCTTTTACATATGCAAAGAAACATTCCTGGAAGCAAAATATATCACGAAACTTTCCTAATAATACTAAGGATAACAAAACTGCATTATTAATCCAAAGATTATATTTACTCATATATACAGATTATTAAGCAATTTAGTTAGGTCAGTTGGAAACATTCTAAACATTCATACAGGTAGTGAATAACTAAGGTAAGTCCACTTCTGTGTACTCTGTAGTAATTATAGTTCCTGAAACCAGTGTCTTCACAGGTAACATCGGAATTGAGCTGGTGTCGTGGTTCACTTAAGGCAACATTTAGTGACACAATGGGAGCATAACATAGACACATGGACAGATGCAACAAAAGTTACACAAATATAATAGGGCTTAGAAAATTAATGAAGAAGAATCTTTCATGCTATCAAGAAGTCTATATTTTTAGAAATATTAGATGCAAATCAAATTCATGGAGTAACATTAAAAGTCTTCTAATTAAATTTTAAAAAGACAAGGGTGCCCTCTGATATTGCTTTTATTCTGCATTGTTCTGGAAGTTTCAGCCTGCAAAATAAGATAGAAAAAGGAGTAAAGCTATATGAGTTGAAAAGAAAAAGGCAAAATTGCCTTTACATGCAAATAATGTATGATTAACTGTGAATGACACAAGATAATTAACAAAATAATTAGTACATATATAGCAGTGCAACCAAAGCAACCAAAGCAATAAGAACCCTAGAATACCTAGGAATATATTTAGCGATAGATGCGTAAACTCCTTATAAGAAAATTACAAAGCTCATTTCTAAGACATTAAGGAATATCTAAATAAAGTATGAGACGAACAACGTTCATGAATCAGAAGACAACATTGTAAAGAAATCAAATTTCAAAACTTAATTTATAAATTTAATAAGTATTTCAATCAACAATGTAACTAATTGTTTTCTAAATTTGACTAACTTATTCTAAATTTGCTATGAAAGAGCAAAGTGACAGCTTTGAAAATAATTGGACTAGCGAGGTGCTGTGGTTCACACCTATAATCCCAACAAGTGGAAGCAAGACTTGAGCCCAGGAGTTTGAGACTAGCCTGGACAACATAGGGAGATCCCATCTGTATAAAAGAAAAAAATTGAACCAAACCTCCCCACAAAAGCAAACCAAACAAAACAAAAATCTAGGAGATTCACCCTAACAGATATTGACCCATTAAAAACTGAATCTAATTATGATAATGTGGTATTGATAAAGAGACACTTGTAGCTTTACCAAACATATTGGAGAGCTCAGAAAATGATAAATGACATTTTCACATGTATAAAAATTTGAAATGTAAGAGGATCACTTGAATATTGATGGGAAAATGGAATACTTAATAATCAACCTGATGGGTCAGTATCCTTAATAAAAGCGAATTCCATGTGGATAATGATCTTCATGTGAAAAGTTAAATGTTAAAATCTTTGGATGATTATTTAGGGTAATTTGTTAATAAGTACCAGATATAAAATATGTTAAAGAAACTACAAAAGTAGAAAGGAATAGTTTGATAGATTTAAATGTTAATTTAAATAATATTAAATTTTCTATTCAACAAAAATATTCTAAACAGAGATAATAGGTAATCATATCTAATGGAAAGAAGATATGGTTCACATATATTGCCACAAGGAAAATTATGTTTAAATTATATAACCAATACTTATAAACTTATGCAACCAATAGCGCGGTGGCTCACGCCTGTAATCCCAGCACTTTGGGAGGCCGAGGCGGGCGGATCACAAGGTCAGGAGATCGAGACCACGGTGAAACCCCGTCTCTACTAAAAATACAAAAAAATTAGCCGGGCGCGGTGGCGGGCGCCTGTAGTCCCAGCTACTCAGGAGGCTGAGGCAGGAGAATGGCGGGAACCCGGGAGGCGGAGCTTGCAGTGAGCTGAGATCGCGCCACTGCACTCCAGCCTGGGCGACAGAGCGAGACCCTGTCTCAAAAAAAAAAAAAAAAGAAAAAAAAGAAAAGAAAAACATAAACAAAAAATAAATCCTAACACAACTAAAAAGTATGGCAAAGTAGTCATAAAAACATTTTAGAAGAAAACTGAAATGAACAACAATATGTTTTATGTATAATCTACACTCATCCCTGCTAGTAATGAAAATGAAAGTTAAAACAAAGATACCATTTCATATTAGGTAAATAGTCTCAACTCTAGCAAATTTTATTGAGGAATGCTCATATGCTACCTTTGTAAATTCTTGCATCCAACCTTGGGCAAACTGACAGTTTCTAATAGATTTCCAGTTGTAAATATTTGTCTCAGAGATTCTGATTTAAGGTATATATCTACTCTATCACATGTGTGAAAAGTGAAATGTAAGCAAATGTTCATTGTAGCATTTTTATAAAAAACTTTAGACATGACTAAATTGTTTATCAACAGGAGAAAATATAAACTGTCATATATTCACTATGACATACTATACAGCCAGTTAGATAAATGAACCAGAGGAGCATTATCAGCATGTTTTGATCTCAAAAACACAATGCTGAGTGAAAACAGGAAAGTATGAAAATTACATGTCCAATATATTTACACCAAAAACATTAAAATATTATATTTTCATAGGTAGCCAAAAGTTTTGGGTACTGCTTAGGACCTAAAACATCATTCCATAGGCACTCAGTAAATGTTTTCTGCACGACTTTTTAAACAATAGGAAGGAAATAAAAGCAAGGGAATCGGTCTCATAAAATTTTAGGAGAATGGTTACCATGTGCAGAAAGGAAATAGCATGAGATCAGGGAGAGTTATCCAGGAACTTAAATTATACATGTAAATTTTTTTGACTGAAAAATCTAAAGCAAATATGACAAAACGCTAAAATTTGATGAAGCTCCCAGGCCCGTTCAGAGGTATTTTTTATTCTCTATAATTGTTTTGAACATTAGAAATCTTAAAAAAGTAAAAAAAAGAAATGACTAGGACCAGAGATTGAAGATGTAGATTACCAAAATATTTTAGCTACACACTCCTCATTTTTTATTCCTCTTCCCTCTCGTTGTGAATTCAGTGGCCTCCTTCATTATATATTATACTCCTATTATATTAGAGATCATAGGGAATTTGGATTTGAGGACATTTTAGGATTTTACAAAATATCTACTCCTAATTTTATAGCAACTTTGAGGATATAGAGAAGATAATCAAATATTATTTTGACAGATTTTTCTGTACTCAAAGCTATCTCCTGAATATAAGTGAAAACCAAGATGTTATTTATTACTTTGAATTTATGATGTTTCAGATTAGCTACTTGGTAATCAATTAAAGGAAGACAGACTAAGTGTGACTAAGTGTAATTGATTGAATTACTAAAATGATATTGCAGCTACAAAAGGTTGTCATATTCAGAGAGACTGTTTGGGCTATGTCAACTGTGTGTTAAATTATACTTTGCAAAGGGTCTTGCTAGGGCTTGAAAGCTTATATTTCACCGTAAGGGCTAGATAAGACATACATGTATGGTAAAAAAAATAAAAATAAATAAATAAATAAAAATAATAAAAATAAAAAAAGATAATGCCATAGGAAAATGAGGTTTCAGCATACACAGGAAGTTCAGCCCATGAACATCTTAAATAGAACATTGTCTTTTAGTCAAGGCAACACATACATTACAGCATTTCAGTAAGATAAAGGATGAATATGTTTATGAAATGTAAGGGACAAAACACATATGAAGAATGAGAGATATAAATATGTACAATCAAAATTTGCATTATGGATTTTAACCATGTTCTTTTTTTGGCAAACAATTTTAAAGAGCGAGTAGCCAGAGCCTTAGAAAACAACAAGAAAAACATTGGTTCTTACATGAGGACAATGGACTATAACATTCTCTTGGTTGCTCTTAAGGTCCCATGAACCCCCTTAGGTAAGTCAGTTTATCTTAAAATACTGAAGCTTTGATCATTTAATGAGTATAATCTAACCTCTTCTCACTTGCATGTCAGATGCAAACACAAAGTGTTTTCCTTGTCCACCAACAGCTATAGCAAGAAACTGGAAAAACTAATACAAACTTAGTGATACCTTTTCAGCTGAAAAGAATGAGTGTAACCAAAAAAGTGTACTCTCAGTTCTTTGGAGACTTTTCCATAGGTTTTTCTTTGTAGTATGACTAATGACGTTTCTAAAGGCCATTTTGCACAAATATAAGGAAAGCCTTTTTAGAAAACAATGCAGGTCAACCCAAGTTACATATCCTGCCCAGCTTGGTTAGAAGAAGCTCTTCATCTCTTCTGGAAAAAGATCATAGCTAAACTATATGCCACATTGTCATTTCCCCCTACCTTATTAAGTTGTTCATTTAATCCTATTACTATTACTTTCATTTATTCTCAATAAAATAAAACACTGAGTTTCTCTATTCTGTGCCCAGCAGTCTGCCAGCTATTTGAAATTAGTTACCTATTGAGTTCACCAGTCGTTTATTCAACACATACATTTTGTGTGTCCACCATGTGCTGCGCTCTAGAGAGAAAATGGTCCATATTTTACACTGTCATGAAACTTGTCCTGTAGAAGGTCAATATGGATT